GAGAGAGAGAGAGAGAGAGAGAGAGAGAGAGAGAGGGGCTACTGGCATCTGACAGGTAGAGGGCAAGGCTGTTACTAAGAGTCCCATAATGCTATAGCGGAGCCCCCAAACCAAGAATTAACTTGCATGATTAAGTCTTAATACCAAATCAACCCTTTATTAATTTCATTCTCTGACACAAATAAGCCATAATGAAAATAATTTCAGGGGAAAGTAACATATATACTAGTACTAGTAAGACTAATGGAACCTTCGTGTGGTGCTGGAGGATAAGCACTGGAATTCGAGGTTAGTTTGAACTGTAAGATCAGTGGTTCAAACCCAGCAGCCGCTCATCATAAACCCTATGCAGGGTTGCCACGAGTCAGCACCAACTCAACAGCACCTGACAATCACAACAGTAAGATACGCTCACTTGGAACAGCCAAGGGGCAGCACCCATCCAAGGACAGGAGGGGAGCCTGGGAAGAAGGGTGGAACGAAAAGAAGAATCCCGGTAAGGAAAAGCATGTTGCAAGTGGGTTGGGGTGGGGGCAATCTATGGATATGAAGCAAAGGGTGAGACTTTGTGAATGTAAAACTGAGGATCTGCCCTGGAAACCTTGACGGAATTCACTACACAACGTTTGTAAAACATCATTTCAGGGCTGTATTAGGGTTCACAGAGAGAAATCTTATACTCCCCAAACCCAAGCCCACCGCCATTCAGCCAACTCTGACTCATAGCGACGCTAAAGGACAGAAGAGAACCAGGGTTTCTAAGGATGTCAATCTTTAAAGAACAGAGAGCCCCAACTTTCTCCCAAGTAGAACTGGTAGGTTTGAACCACCGGCCTCACTGTTATCAGTACAATGCTTAAACCAAAATGTATTGTTGTTGTTACGTGCCATCGAGTCGGTTCTGACTCATAGGGTTCCTATACAGGTTTCTGAGGCAGAACGCCTCATCTTTGTCCTGTGGAGCTTCTGGTGGATTTGAACTGCCAATTGTGGTTAGCAATCCAGTGCACATCCTACAGCACTGTGATAAAATGCAAAGTGGCATTTACATAAGCTCTCTTCAACCAATGAAGAAAGAGGTCACCAGATGCCAAGATGACGCCATCCCCCACCCCCAAGGTCAGAACACGCATGAAGCTGGGTGCAGCGGGTAGCCTTCAAGGGATGGGGCAGGGGTGAGTGACAAACCATTTTTTTTCGGTCCTCTCCAGATCACGGCGTCATCGGGACTGCTAAGCAAGAAACCCACCGACATCACACCCAAGTTGTCGTCCACATACTGCAGAGGGGACAGAAGAGCGACAGAGAGGATTGCGCTGCCACAAACCCGCTTTATTTAACACACAGAGGAGGCACTTTGGATGAAATGACCATGTGACCTAGGAGTACATGCACTCTGTGTGTCCTCAAATCATCTGAAGGAGGAAAAAAGATCCTATGCTGGGGGTGGGGCTAGGGGGAGCAGGGTTTGAAGGGGGTACCATGTAGCCTTACACTGTAATCACAATACACTTGTCTGAAATCAGTGAATGGTCTTCCCCTCAACTCTCTTAACCAGGGGCTGGCAAACCATGGCCCCTGAGGCCAAATCTGCCCCCCGGTGGGTTTTTGAATATAAAGTTTTATTGGAACACAACCAGGGCTGCTTGTTTATCTGTTGTCTATGGCTGCCTTCAAGCTACACCAGCAAAGACTAGACGGCCCCCAGATAAAAAGAGTATTTACTAGCTGATGCTTTACCCATGACATTTGCCAACCCCTGGTCTCAATGACACCAGAGTGCCTAGAAAAGGGCCTCAATAAATATGCTGACTAATGCAAACATGGATTAAGGAAAATGTTTCGAATCCACCACATATTCATTATACTGGCATGACATAACACACGACCTTGAAAACAGACAAAGAGGTGACACTCACCACAGGAGACCAGCCCGAGCCACTCTGGTGAACCTGTGAACATAAGAAATGATGTACCCCAGCCACAGCCTACAAAACTTGACACATTTTACAGCGCAGACCAAAACCAAACCCAAACCCCACTGCGGTGGGTTTCTGACTCAAAGCAAGCTGACAGGGCAGAGTCAAAGTCCCCCGAGGGTGAGACAGTGAAGTCCTTAGGGAAGCAGTCTCATCTTTCTCCATTGGAGCTACTGGTGGGTTGGAACTGCTGACCCATGCAGTCAGCAGTCCAATGCTTAACCTACCACTCCACCATGGCTCCTACAAAGAAGACAGCATTACAAATATCACGTGCCTTTTATGCTACCCCTGAATTCTTAAATAACTGGGTACAAGTAATGGAAGACATAATGTGATACTCCTTTCCCTCAAGTTTGGTTATTCTGAATCTACCCAGTTACCTAATCACAGCCAGAGTGCTCCTTGGAGGCCAGGACAGCCAGACTTCGTCTTTCATACTTCAGACATATTGTCAGGAGGGACCAGTCGCCAGAAAGGATATCATGTTTGGTAAGGTGGAGGATCAGAAAAAAGAGGAAGACCCCCAACGAGATGGACTTGAGAAGTGGCAGCACTGATGGACTCAAGCGTGGCAACAGTAGTGACGTTGGCCCAGGATCGGGCAGTGCTTCCTTCTGCTGTGCATAAGGTCACTATGGGTCAGTACCGACTCGATGGCACCTAACAACAACAACCTAGTCATAGGACCCTGGTGCCACTGCAGAATAATCACTGGACTGCTCACTGCAACATCAGCAGTTCAAATCCACCAGTCTCTCCTAGTGAGAAAGATGAGGTTTTCTGTTTCCACAAAGATTCGCAGCCTCAGAACCCCTATACAGGGTCACTGTGAGTTGGAATCAAGTTTCAGAGTTGAGAGAGTGAGGAACCCAGTCAGGGAACCAAAACTGAGTTCAAATAGACTTTTGGCTCTGAGGAATTTTTCCAGCATGACAGAACTCAGTTGTAGGTTGGTAAGAAAATGCAGGAAATTGTGAAACAATGAGGTTGCTTCAGAAAAAGCCCAAGAGTAAAGGGAATTACCTGAAATTGTTGATTCCAAACCTGCCCCATCACAATGTAGAGATCAAAGTCTATTTGCGGTTACCAGGGGCCGGAGGGAGAGGGAAAAGGGTGTCAGTGTTTATAGGCACTGGATGTCTGTTTAGGATCAATTTGGTTTGAGCCCACCAGCCTCTCCATGGGAGAAAGGCGAGGTTTTTGCTCTCCCCAAAAGATTTAAAGCCTAGTAAACCCTACCCAGGAGTCCTGGTGTGGCGCTGTGGGCTAAGGCATCAGACTGCAAAGTCATTTGAACTGCAAGGTCAGTAGTTCAAGCTCACCAGCTGCTCCTTGGAAACCCTATACAGGGTCGTTATGGGTCAGGATCGACTCGACACCACTTAACAACAACAACAACAAATCCTATCCAGGATAGTTAGCTAGGAGTTGAAACTGACTCAATGACACTTAACAACATCGATTATGGTTTCACAACAAGATTAACCTATGTACTTGATGTCACTAGAATTGTACATAAGAAAGAGATTAAATTGTCAAATGTTGTGTTATATTTTACAAAAACAAAACTGCCCCTCCAGTGGCCTGCATCTGAGCTCTGGCCTGCTGTCCCCTGGGGGCAAGAATCATGGGGTCAATGAGACACTCATCGCTGTACCTCGAGGCTCAACTCTCCGCCATCCTTTTATTTTTACAAAGTTATTGCTTAAATCAGAATGCTTATTAAAGCAAGGAGAGCAAGACTTCATCTCAAGTACTTGAGGGACTTGTCCCTGAACAATATCATGCTGGATAAAGTGGAGGGTCAGCAAAAAAGACGACGTTCCACAAGGAGATGGACTGACAGCAGCTACACCGATGGGCTCACACACAGCCAGGACTGTGAGGATGACGCAGGGCCGGCCAGGGTTCCACACTGTTGTACAATGGGTCACGATGAGTCGGAAGTGACTCAAAGGCACCTAGCAAGAACTTTAGCAGCTTCCAGTGGAACAGTGATCTCAGAAACGCTACTTCCTTAGAGCTAGGCACTAGAAAGGCTAGTTTCCTTTATGGAATCTTACGTTTCTCAAAATGCCATTGTTGTGGTTGCCATCAAGTCAGAACCAACTCATTCATTCAGAGACCTTTCGCACAACAGAACGAAACGCTGCCTGGTCCGGCTACGCTTAAGCCCACCGCTGTTGCCACTGTGCCAATCATCTCGTTGAGGGTCTTCTTCTTTTTCACTGACCCTCCACTTTACCAAGCATGATGTCTCCAGGGACTGGTCTCTCCTGATAATCTATTTAAAGTATGACAGACAAAGTTTGGCTATCCTGGCTTGTCAGGAACACTCTGGCTGTACTTCTTCCAACACAGATTTGTTTATTCTTCTGGAAGTCCACGGTACTTTTAATATTCTTCTCCAACACTGCAACTCAAATCAATCAATTCTTTTATGGTCTTCCTTACTCAATGTCCAACTTTTACATGCATATGAGGCTACTGAAAATATCCTGGCTTGGGTCAAGTACACCTTAGCCCTTAAACTGATCTCCTTGCTTTAAGGAAGTCTTGTGCAGATTTGCTTAATGCAACAACGGCATCAGTGCCATACAATTTACACACCAAACAATTCACCAGTCATAAGCGGACTGTTTTTATGCTCCCCCCCACACACACGCCCCCCACGCTGTAACATGTGTTAGGACTTCATATCTCTTCACGACTGAATACACAGCCCATTGCCCTAGTCACCGTCTGTTCCCTCTCTCAAGGTAGGGCTCTGCCTCGTTCATCGCTCTACTCCCAGAACTCAGAATAGTACCAGGAAACCAACTTGGAACATTGGTGTCCCGGGGACTCCTCCCCGTGCACTTCTTTCTGCCCCCCAAAGGAGGGGACAGTGTTTACCATGCCCCATCCCACATCCCACGCCAGCCTCAGTCTCTAGGGGAGAGACGACGGGGCAGAAATATCCCCTGCTTCCAGCATAGAAACCCCTTGCAAGCCCTGGGCCTGGTTTTCCAGTAGAAGTTACATATCCTTGTATTACACTTCTGCATTTCGCTTACTGTTTCCCTTCCCTTCAGAAAAAGTATCGAAACTACCTCTTCTCAAATGGTTTTGGTGAACTTTACAGCTAATTCCCCCTCTGAATGCATAGCTATTGTGAGAGTGGACAGAGGTCCAGGAATGAACTGGTGAACACCTCGTGCCCGCATAAAAGTTGATGGGCTTTGCGGACCTCTTGGTTAAGGGTTTAATAGTTCAGAGCCACAAAGTGTGTCTTAAGAGAGTATTTTCCCGAGTTTTGAAACATCTTTGAAATATTACCTGTTCTCCTTCTAATCCCATTATCTTGGGAATTGATGGCCCACATATATCAATGTCTAGAACAGCAATCTGGGGAAGAAACAGAGAGCAGAGTCGTTATGTAATGGTATGCACCACACACAACAAGTGCATGGCTGAGAGGGGACCAGGGTTACAGGGAAAAGAGAGGAGAGCCAGACACTGGACCCGACTCGGCCCAGGCTACTCTCCTGAGGGACACACATGATAGTAAGGACACATACCTTCCAGGTCATTGAGGGGACAGCCCACAATTCCTAATAAGAGCTCAGCAAAGTTCACAGACACTGGCAACATGGAGCCCAGCTCTGAGTGACCTTGTAACCTGGGCATCAGGTCACCTAGTGCCTCAGGCTTGGTCACTGCTTAGGCATTTTCTTGTTTGGTACGTGTCTATTGCCTGGAGGCTGGGAAGCATGCTCTTTTCTTTACAGAAAAAAACCCTGAGGGTTCGAGAGGCTCCATGACTTGTTCAGGGAGCAAGAGGCAGAGTTGAGATGCAAGTCAAGGTCGCCTGACTCCAAGGCCAGGGCCCTCTGTCCTACCCCAAGGGGTCTCTGACCAAGCCTCGTTTTCCCATGATCCTGAAGAGTAATGGTGGCTTAGGCTAAACTTCCTCAAAAGCAACTTAAAATCAGAAGCAAATCCTCTACAAATGTCCTGTAGTGAACCCCACCCTAAGACTGAGACTCAAAGGGAACACATAAACAGGCATGTAAGCTTGCTGGTGACCACACTGGTCTACTGGTGAGTGAAAGAAGGGGAAAGGCAGCAATGAAGAAATGGGCTGAGTTCAACCACAGTCCATTGACTCCTGTTGACCTGGACATGAGCGAAAGAAGAGGAAGGGCTGGTTGGTCTAAAGTGTGGCAAGACCTGGGGACACCTGAGCCTGTGGACAAGGACATAGCCACAGAGGGCTAGAGTTGGGAGTGAAGCATCCAGCTGATATGAAGTGAGAGGAGATGCACAAGAACACCCAAACTTGCAGGCAGTATGCATTTGACCTAGCCTCGATGGCTTGATAATCAGAACTCGACTAGAGGAAGATTTAAAAGAAAACAATTTTTGATAAAGGAAACGAGGGTAAATTGCTACAATTTGATGAACCTGACCTATACTCATGGAGGTAGTAACTCTAAATACCAACAGAGAGGGAAGGAGTCTTCACATCAAGTATTAATGCTATCCCCTCTGTACACAGGGTAGATAGGGACGGGCAACTTAGACATTGGCTACCTAAAATGAGGGGGCGATAAAGGCATGAAGTGACTGGCTTACAAGGTTTCAAGGGGCAGTTTAGTTTAAGAGTGTGGGGGTGTATAAAGAGTTCCCATTGAATAGTTTTCATCTTGGCTAGACGGGTCTGGCGAAAAGAGATGTGGATAAGATTCTTATGGTTCAGTAGTAATTGTTATCATGACTAATTGCGACTGTCACAAATGTAAAGGTAGAAGTTTTGTAACATAAATAGGGGAGTGATTAATCTTACAGTCCAGAAACAAAAGACCCTAGGACCATCAAGGAAGAAAAGCACAAGCAGAATGCAAGACCTTAACCAGAGAAGCATCAACACCAGAGATCGAGGCAGAGATGGGGACATGGAGAGATGGAGCAACTGAGGACTAAAGATTCATGGGAAGAGAGGGACTGAGAGCTGGAGGTCAGGAGGCTAAAAAAAAAAAAAAAGAGCTAAAGTAAATAAAGTAAATAGAGACAAATACTGTTGGTACATGGAGGGGATTATAATGATTGTAATGAAACAAAGTGTATGATTTGTTGAATGTAAAACTGATGATCAGCCCTGTCAACTTTCACTCAATTCACAATAAAAACCTTCCTGTAGTGGTGACTAAGTATAGCCTGTAATGCCTCCTTCCACTCAGACACCCTGACCCCGCCATCCCATCGAACTGACACAGGAGACAGCCCTTTCCTGGCACGGCTAGTAACCATCTCGAAAGCGGTCATGTGTCAGACCCAAGTGCAGTATCTCAGGGTAACTTTCTAAGTCACCCCAAATCCGTGTCTTGCTTCTCTCTTCATCATCTCAGCAAACCCAACCTCCTACTTCCTCTGCACACACCAGCTATAACTTGTGATCAGAAAAGCTTTCAGACTCTGACGGCCATTTGCCTCGCGCGCCCTCTGCTGGCCACCAGAGGAGCACACCGGAACAATGTACTCCATCTGACAACTGGACAGGACATTATTTTGTCTTCAGTTCTTGGGGCTGATTGATGTGTGATGTTGATCCGCACACATTTTCTATCAAAGCCTCTCGATTTGGGGAACTGTAGCCATCACTGAGCTAGAATGATGACAATCTTGACAATCATGGGAGGAGATCCTGGGTGGTGCAAATAGCTAAGCTCCAGACTGGGGTGGCGCTGTGGGTTAAGGCACCAGACTACAAAGCCGTTTGAACTGCAAGGTCGGAGGTTCGGAGGTTCAAGCTCACCAGCTGCTCCTCAGAAACCCTATACAGGGTTGCTATGGGTCGGAACCAACTCGACAGCACTTAACAACAAAGACTACCAGCTACAAGGTGAGTAGTTTGAACACACCCAGAGGCACTTCGGGAGACAGATCTGGCAACTTACTTCTGAAATGTCGTGCAGCTGGGCAGTTGTACTATGCACACCTGGGGATGCTGAGTTAGAATCAGCGACAACAAACAACAAAACAACACAACCAGGGGAGTGAAACTTGAATAAAATAATACATGTGCCCATGGTCACCGTTACTGAGTCTGTTCTGACTCACAGTAACCTTGGGGGTGGGGAGAACTGCTCCCACCAGGGCCCCAAGGCCATCATCTTCATAGAGGCAGACTGCTTTCTCGTTCGCCCATGGAGCAGCTGGTGGGTTCGAACCGCTGGCCTCAGGGTTAGCTGGCGAGTGCTTAACAACTGCGCCACTCTTAGGTGGTGGCACCTGAGAACACTGCTGAGACAGCCCTGCTTCTCCAATCTGGATCACCTGGGCTCTGTGCCAGCCAGGTAACCAGCTCACCCAAATGGGGGCCTCACGTGGCCAGACGGCTAGCTGCAGGGCAGAACAACTTATCAACAGCGGGTATACCTGAACCTGTTCAGCCTGATACTTTGGCTAGGTTACAGACTCTTCATCTGTAAAACACAAAGTGGTCATCCCTTCATAGGCCAATGACTGGAATAAATCCACCGTTACCGGGAAGTACTGGACACCCTGGGTAATGTAAATAGTTAATGAGCGTGCCTGCTAACCAAGAGAGTGGTGGCTCACGTCCGCCCAGAAAACTGGACGGCGCACACGGGGTGGCCAGGAGTCGGAATGTACTGGATGGCCGCTGGCACTGGTGCCCACCAGGTCCTCTCAGCTGGAACGTGCACAAGGGCATGGCACGAGGGTGGGCAGCGCTGGGACCTGAGCCTGGCCAGTTAGACTCGGGCCCGGGGAGGAGAGGGTGTGCAGCCCCTCTTCTTCCGCCTCCAGGGCTTAGCCCTCTGTTGTCCCCGACTGCCCTCTCTCCCGCCCTCCTGGAGATGAGGAGCTGGTTTACCATCACTCCCTCAGGACTCTCCATCACACATGGGGGGGTCACAGCAACACACTCACAGCAACTTCCAATCAGCTTTTTCCTCCATCCAGGAATCCTTCCGGAGCACTCTAAGAGGCCAGCTGGGCCCAGCATTCACAGCAAGTTGCCTGCCACCCCAGTCTGCCTGGCAGCCCCTCCTTTCTCCCATTGCTTCCTTTCTCCTCCCATCAGTCCCCATCCAGGGGTCCCATCTCTCTTCTCTTCAAATTCCTAGAGGATCTTGGATGGCACATACCATTCCATCCCAGTGGTACCATACACCCATTCCATTCCAACACAAGGTACCACAGACAAGCCACACAGGAGCCCAGAGACAATGCTCATAGAGAGTGGCTGTATACAATGACCAGAAGGGAAATGAATTGTAAGGAAGGATGCAGAGCCCAAGAAAGGGAGAGAAACAGCTGTGCAGACCCTCTGTCCCCGCCTCCTCATCGCCCCGGATGGAAGGCCAGCAGCAGCTCAACACCCAATTCTCTTCTGCCAACACCCTCCCCCAGTGCCAGACCAGGGTCAGCCAAATACGTGCCCCTGCTTTTGCACAGCCCACAAACTATTTACATTTTTAAACAGCTGGTAAAAAAAGAAAAACAGATAAAATCAAAAGAATTCTACTTCATAACCTATGACAATGATTTGAATTTCCAGTTTCAGTGACAATAAAGTGTGACTCGAACCTAGTCATGCTCATTGGTTTCTGTACTGACGAGGACTGCTTTTGTGGTACAACAGCAAAGCTAGGTCGTTACACCAGAGACTCAATGGCCCCCACCGGCCACAGTCACCACCTGGCTCTTTACAGAATAAAGCTGGACTCTGGACCAAACTCTGATTTCTTACTTATTAAAAAAGACGATCCTTGGATACTGAGATGTGTCCGGGCCACTGCGATCTTTGTGTGTATGTGTACAGAGTACATGCAGAGTGGTCTATTTTTAGCTGCTTAGTCTATTTTTTATATTGGGGTCTGGAGTCGTGTGTCACTCTGAAAGAATAAACGGTGATGTGTGTTCTACGTTAAAACAAGAGAACGCCCAATAATAGTAAGAGATGGTAATTCGCCACTTTAGAAAAAGGACAGAACAACCAAAAAAATACAGAATGCCAAAGTCGTCAGGGCTTTATTAAGTGCACAATGGTAATCAAGTGACTATCTGGATAATTTTTTCCTAAGGAAGTCCTGGTGTGGCGCTTTATGTTAGCACTGGACTGCTAACTGCAAAGTCAGAGGTTCAAGAACACCAGCCACTCTTGGGGAACTCTATACTCGATGGCTCTAAATAACAATAACAAAGAATACTGCAGATTTCTAAAGTCAAAGACATCACACACTGCCATTAGACCTTTCTGACAAAAAGAACTGGTTTTCTTCCTCATCCTACTACGCTTTTCATTCAAGCTCAAACCCGGAGCAGCACCAGGATAGTTGGCGTTGCTCTGCTCATCCTCCCATTGGGGTAGAAGGGGACGTGCTATCGCTGGGCTCTGCAAACTCTGCCTCTGAAAGTCAAAGTATCTTTCAGGCAAGGAGCTCTTGTAGCCCAGTGGTTACGAGTTGGGCTGCTAACCTCAGGGTTGGCAGTTCGAAACTACCAGCGGTTCCACGGGAGAAAGATGAGGTTTTCTGCGCCCATAAAGATTTACAGCCTTGGAAACTCAGTACAGGGTCACTATGAGTTGGAACCAACTTCACAGCACACCACCACCACCACCAATATTTTAGGCTTCACAGGCCAAGAGGCAAAAACAAGGATTTTATGTATCTATAAAACAATTTTATAACTGAAAAAAGCCAGTCTTAGCTCAGAGCTATAAAGACAGGAGGGAGCTGGATTTGGCTTACATACTATTGTTGACCCCTGGCCTAGAAAAAGGCAAAAAAGGGTTAACAAGAAGAAAGAAGTATAAATTTAGTATAATATAGAGATGTATACTGTTCATCGTTTTCACTGTAGGATACACACTGAACTGCTAACTGCAAGGTTAGTAGTTCAAACCCACCAGCTGCTCCTTAGACAACCTATACAGGGTCACGGTGAGTCAGAATCAACTCAATGGCACAATAATTCATTTTCACAGCTAGAGAAACAATGAAATACTTGAACCTCACTGCTAGGTATTCCCAAGTGTCCCTGGGTACGACTAAGAGTTGATGTACTTGGCTGCTGACCCAAAGTTTGGAGGTTTGAGCCCACCTGGAGGCAACTCAGAAGAAAGTCCTGGGGCTCTGCTTCAGAAAAACTAGCCACTGAAAACCCTATGGAGCCCCAGTCTTCTAACAACACAGGGGTTGGCAGGAATCTCAATTCCAGAGGTTCAACCTCATCTAAGAAAGCAGCTACCAAAAGCCAGCATGAGCCTTAAGACAGAAAGATATCCACTAGTCTCCCCGAAGGTCCCACCTGCGTGTTTTCATCCTCTGCCAGGCCATGGGCGAGGTGTGCACTGAACGTGCTCTTCCCGACGCCACCTTTCCCAGACAGCACCAAGATTTTGTGTTTCACGTTTTTCATTTTCTCTTTGATTTCCTCTATGGCTACAAAGAAAGCAGTTTAAATGGTTAAAGTCTCCAAGTAAATATTGAACATCATTCTTCCAACAGGCTAGAAGGGTGTGTGGCGTGTGGAATAAGCACTTAATGGTACTTAGTGCTGTAGAGAAAATAAAGCTGATCTCACGTTCGGAAATGTTCTTATTAATGTTCATTTTGCTTGCTCTTACTGGGATACAAACTCCCTGACTCTATGACATACGGAAATCCTTTGAAATTCCAATTTCCGTATCAATAAAGTTTGACTGGAACGTAGTCATGCTCACTGGTTTCTGTAACGACTAGGGCTGCTTCCAGGTGACATCGGCAAAGTTGGAATTCCACATCCCGGTTCCAAAACAGACCTTCACATGTAGTAATGATCCTCAGCCTGGGAGCCAGATTCCACGGGGGATATCTGCCTGTGTCTGGGGACGATTTTGGATGGGGAGGAGAGTTGCTACTGGCATCTCATCGAAGCGGCCTAGCATGCTGCTTACAATACACAGCACAGTTCCACAACAAAGAATGATCTCGTCCCAAGCCAACAGGGCTAAGGCTGAGAACCCCTGACAAATAGCAGGCACTGATACATGCCTGCCACTGGCAACTATCACTTACTGTACACCTCACTGTGCTTCAAACTTCTCATCTCAGATCCTTACGACAACACTGTGAGTTACCTACTCCGCTCCCGGTTTGCAGTGAGGAAACTAACACTCAGAGAGGTTAAGTCCTTTGTTCAAGATCACACAGCTTGGGCCAAGAATCAAACCCAAGTCTCTCTTTGAGTCCCTTTAAATTCTTCTCCTTTTAAGTCCCTTGGATGGAGGCAGTAGGCCCTGGTGGCACAGTGGCTACAGCACTAGGGTGCTAAGGGGAAGGTCAGTGGCCAGCACTCACCAGTAGTTCTGAGGGATGAACATGTGATATTTCGCTTCCACAAAGATGACAGCCGTGGGCAGTTCTAGTCCATCCTATAGCGGGCACTCTGACTTGGCATTGTCTCAATTGCAGTGGGTTTGGAGTTTGGGTTTATCTAGGAATGTCCCTAGAATCTTCTGTGCTCTTGAGTTTTTCCTTTGCAGTATTGATCATTATACTGATTTATTATGGCTCCACTATTAAACTGAACTCTGCCAGGGCCGTGACGGTGTATGTTTCATTCACACCGGTACCCACAGCACAGAAAGGCATCTGTTGTTGGTAGGTGCCGAGGAGCAGGTTCCCACTCTTAGCAACCCTATGTACCACAGCAGGAAACATGGTCCACACTGTGCCCATAAGTGATTGGTGTTAGGTGCTGTTGAGTCGCTTCCGACTCATAGCCACCTTGTATAGAGTTTCGAGGAGTGGCTGGAGAATTCAAACTGTCAACCTCGTGGTTCAAACAGCCCATGAGGTCCAGTGCATGATCCTACAGCGCCACACCAGGCCTCCAGATAAGTGATTAAGACATTATATTGAAGGAATGGGAGAATCTTTCCTCACAAGGTAGATACTTTCATCCTAAACTGGCTGGTGAAGCCATGATCTAATCCTAAGGGGTCCCTGTCTTGATGCGACCATTGCGGCCACTGTCATTCCAACCTCTAGCTCCACCCCTGCTACTCCATGATGAGCCCCGCCCCTCAGCTTGTCGACTTTTTTTCACTTCTCGCCTTCTTTGGGCCTTGCTCCCAACAAGAAGAGCCTAAACCCTACGTCTGTCACTCATCCTTCAGGTCCCGCCCCGACCACCTCCCATTTCCCTCCACGCCCCGCCTTTTCGGGCCCGTGCCTTTCACTTCCCGTTTAAGCCTCGCCCCTTCCTCACCCGGGTCTGGAGCGGCACCGGCTCCTGAAGCGCACAGCCGCTGGTTAGGGCATCCCTGACATGAGGCCCCTCGGCCCGCTTGGGCGCTACCGGTCCCGGGACAGCCTGCGTGAACACAAGATGTCAGAGGAGTTCTCGTCCCTTCACACTCACCACCCATGTTTTCTCCCCGCGCTCACCCTGAGGCACCCCCTCCATCCCGCCGCGTCGGCGTCAGCACCGGAACTCACCGGTGTACATTTCCGGTTTGCGACGCCCAATCTGGCCTTAGACTGGCGCGAAGTAAGTCTCGGATAGAGGGCTGTGCGCACGCGCGGATCATGTGCCGTGGGGGCGGGGCGCCTCTAATTCTGTTACATTTAAAACCGAGCACAAGTGTTTATCATAAATACTTGAACGTGTTTCCTACCTCCTCTCAATGCCACGACCCTACCCAAGAAACGAAACACTAATAGTTTATATTCAGACATACAGCTTGTATGTAACTTTACATGCCACAATTTCTAGTCAATTTACCAAATCACCCCCAAATTAGACTCTCCTCTCCTGCCCCCACATTCTGGATGCGCTCAAGGATCACGCATAGCCCTTTGTTATCATTTCTTTCGTTGATGTTAGATGCCAAGTCAGTCAGTCCCGACTCAGAGCGTCCCTGTATAGTGTTTCCGAGGTGCAGCTAGTGGATTTGAACCACTGGTGTCACACCAGAACTCCAATTGTCCTGTAGAATATTCCACACTCTGTTTTTCTGATATTCTACCTCGTGATTAGATTCGTGTTCAGTTTTGGGGTGGACCACACCTGGGTAATGTGTATTTGTCATTGCGTCACTAATTGGTGTCATTCTTGGCGATATGAAGCTTGTTCTCTTGGTAAAGGTGTTAGGGTTGTTTTGTGCCTTTTGAGTCGATTCCTACACATAATGATCCTATAGGTCAGACAGAACTGTCCTATAGCGTTTCCAAGTGGTGCTATGGTTAATGCATTGGACTTTAAGGTCGGTTTGAAACATAAGGTCGGCGGTTCAAGCTCACCAGCCGCTCCTTGGAAACCCTATACCAGGTCGGTTTGAGTCGGAACCTATTCCATGGCACTTAACAACAATCTTTACCAGAGCAGATAGTCAGGTTTCTCATCAGAGGAGCACTTAACCATTGCCACCTGAGCTCTTTTGTGTTCAAGATAGTGCCTGCTACATTTCTCTATTTGTAATTAGTACTTTGTGAATAGTAATGTGAATATCCTGTTCACCACCAAACTCTCAGGGTTTTAGCATTATTCTTTCCAGAATCGCTTAAGTGGGGCTCTTAACCATTCCTGGGAGGCACTATGCAAATTGTTCTCTGGAGGAAAGCTGGAGTGCAGTGTTTTTGTATGATAAGCACTGGACTTCAAACCACAATGGACTGCCTTTGGGGGAGAGAGATAAGGCTTTCTGCTCCAGCAAAGATTTACAGCCTGAGAAACCCTATACAGAGTTACTATGTGTAGGAACCGACTTGTGGCCACTTAACAACAAAGGAGGAAACCGAGGCTCAGAAAAGTTAAGTGTTTGCTCAAAGTCTCACAACAAGGAGGCTGAACTAGGACTTCTTGACCGCAAGCTCTTTTCCCCCTCTACCACAGTGTAGAGCACTAAGATAGGACCGCTTCAGATTTTCCAGAGTCCTGGTGTGGTGCTGAGGGTTAATGTGCTGGAATGCAAATGAGCCGGTTTCAACCACAAGGTTGGCAGTTCAGGCTCACCAGCCCCTCCTCAGAAACCCTATACAGGGTCTCTATGGGTCAAAACCGACTTGACGGCACTTAACAACAACAACAAATTTTGCCTGACAGACCCTTCTAGCTGTTTTCCGTGGTGAGGACGCCACTGTGAGTCTTTCTTTTGTTGCTAATTACAAACCACCCTGCACAGTGGTAAGAAAGAAAGATCTACTGTTTTTCAGTCTTCCCCCTCTATGCCTTCCTTCCCATAACCTATCAAAATGATCAAATGTTCCACACTAAAACATAAAGTAAAATAATCCCCTCAACCTGACTCCGGATCTCTCTCCGGCTCCTCCCAGCCAAACTCCTGTTTTACCTGGGATGGAAATTTCCATCTATTTCTGTTGTAGGAGGGCAGAAATTAGGTAGCTATCAATGCAGATTCTCAGGGTTAACCCCAGATCTCCTTAACCAGACACTCAAGGGCTGGGCCAGGGACTCTGCATCTTCACTTTCATCAGGTAGCAATTATAACTTCTGAAGTTTGAGAACCACACAAATCAGATCGTGTCACTCTGATGCTTATAAACCTTTAATGGGACCCTATGGCCCAGAGTAAAGCCCAGTCTTCACAGGGTTTTCAGTGACCTGTTTTATCCCTCCAGCCTCATTTCTTGCTGGGTATCATCAGGAATGCTGAGCGCTACCTACAGGAACCCAATCCATTTCTCAGCCTTGTTGCTCACTGGGATCCTTTTGCTGGCAACACCCTACCCCCACAGCCCTCTCCTGCCCAGCCTCACCCAGTCCCCATGACTTAGCTCTCAGCCTTAACATTTCATTAAAGCCATTTCTGGTATGCCTTCTGCTTTGCTAAAATAAAGTATTTTCCACATCTCAGTTCTAATTTATGTTTAAATAACTTCAGAATGAGAGATGCTACAAACTAACAACAACAATAACAAAAATCAGCACTTGGTGTTTTCATTTCCGTCACATTTACTTAATCTTGTGAGTTTGAAATCATAGATTTTAAATGTAAATTTTAGTCTCAGTCCTTGTGATCAAAAATGGAGACGAGTGATTCAAACAGAAAATTTAAGATGAGAACTACATTGCTTTCTATTTAGAGGACTGGTATCCTGGTATGGCGCTGTGGCTTAATACGCTGGACTGCAAGTTTGGTTTGAACCGCAAGGTTGGCGGTTCAAATTCACCAGCCACTCCTTGGAAACCTTTTGGTTAGCCGTTGAGTGCTCAACCAGTGCACCACCACGGCTCCTTGTTTGGCATTTTACACATATTCAATTATTTTATTCCCCACAAAATTCTCGTTGTGTATGAACTTTTATGATCATTTTGCAAATGAGGAAATTGAGGATTAGAAAGTAAAAGTGACTTCCCAATGTTGTCATAAGACAACATAAGAGTTGAGTCAGGATTTGAACCTGTGTTCTCTGTCTTCAAAGTATGAACTGCAAACCACTCCCTGGTACAATCATAAAACCTGGGGAGGTTTGAAAAAAGCCCAGATCCTACCCCTCAAAGGCAGAGTTAATTGGTGTGGGTAGAAGAGCCAGGCAGAGGTGTGTTTTAAAAGCTCTCAAGGTGGTCCGGGAAGGTCAGGTTAGGAGCATCTGCTACAGAGGGTATACACGGGTGTCCCCAAAAGTCTGCGTTGTTGTTGTTGTTGTTAAGTGTTATCGAGTCTACTCCAACTCAAAGAGACCCTGTGTAGTGTTTCCAAGGAGCAGCTGGTGAGTTTGAACCGCCGATCTTGCTGTTCAAACAGACCTTGTGGTCCAGTCCTTATCCTACAGTGCCACACCACGAATTCTCCCCAAAAGTCTTAGTGCAGGTGTAAACTTTAATCACTCCAGACATATAAACCTATAAACTTATTTTAA